TTTTTTTTTGCCCCCCCCTGTACAGACACTGTATACATACGTCCCAGAATGTCTGAACGTCAAGGATCCACAGCCGTTAACGACGCACTCGAAAGCGCCAATTTTTGCTTTCAGTCAAGGATTATAAAAATATTGTGACCATGGCTCTAGTGTTGCGCTAAATAGAAGCTACATATGTACAAGGGGGGGGGGGCAAAAAAAGACTTTTTTCTTCCTTGACTTTCGAGGCGCTATAAGTTACACTTTATTAAATTCTTATCGGACATTTCTACCACCATATTAAAGAGCATATTAAATACTATCATGATACTCCGCCACAGCCTTCTGGAGGAGCGCCATCGAGAGATTCTGCCACGCGACCGTGAGTGGGTGCCTGAGTTCAGCGAGATCGTTGATTTCTCCGCCACTGTAGACCACCCTATTGAACTCCGCCCGAACCGGGTAATTGAGGGGATTCAGGTCAGGTGACCTACTTAAATATTCCATCTCTTTAGGTGTGGTGCTCATCATTGCAGACCGGTGGGGCGGGTGAGCCGCGCCGCGTGTGACTCGGCTGTGACGCGACTGTCATCGCTGCCGCGTCACAGCCGAGTCACACGCAGCGCGGCTCACCCGCCCCACCGGTCTGCAATGATGAGGACTGTACTCACCCCTTCCATTCCAAGTAGGCAAGAGTTTTCCAACGCCCTTCGATTCCATGTGGTGTAGCAGTACAAAGTTTCCAAGAAGGTACGGGCGACGACATGTGGAGAGGATATTCTTCTCGAGTTGCTCGATGTAACCGCCAGCGCTCACCTTTAGTCCGGGGCCCACGAAGAAAATATCGGTCTCTCCATTCCAGGTACGTCCGGTCCCCACCATCAACCCGCGCCTTGAGGTGAAGATGATGTCCTAGACCGTAGCGACGTTGTCGGAGCTGCTCGATGTTGGAGGTCTTCCAGATCGAGAGTACTGGTCTCCAGGTAGCTATCCATGGGTGACTCCATACTAGAAGTTTCGCAGCTGTTTGGAGGTGACATGAATTCCAAAGGTCTTCTCCAGTCAGGCTGCGACTGGAGATGACTTCATATTTTGGTGTACATGAAGGTGATGGGCGAGAGCCAGCTCCTGCTTATCGAGGAACATCTGCGAAAACTTGCTGTTATGTGACTCGGTCGAAATGTCTTTCCCACCCCCCCCCTCTCCTCTGTAGAGTGTGCGATAATTAAGCGACTCTCTAGCTGTTGCAACTCTATTCGAGATCGAAAGATAAAGTATTCGCAGTAGATCAAGCCTATTTGAGGAGCGGCACGCATTCCACCTCCATTCAAAACGGCACGGATATTGGCTGTTAGGGGTAAAACTCATTTATTCACTTTCACAGCAATTTTTGAAAATATGACTGTGTTACTATCGCAGAATACATTGCTCTACTTCTCTGTACTATGGAAATTGTTATATATTAAAAATGAAATAAAAGAAGACCATCTTCAATTGGACAGATATCCGATAAGCAACAGAACGGCAAAGAACAGCGAGTTAATGGTGAGAAAGAACATTAGTAGTAACGAGTCCAAACGTTCGCACACCAGAACCCATCGCATTCTCAGGCGTTTTTGGGCGGCTTTCCTGAAAGAACGTTTGCCATTACTTGCCACGAACCTGTATTTGAAGGAACAATGTAGATGTGCGGCACTGGACTCAAACTACAGTATGGCCCCACTTCCTTATTCAAATGAAGCGCGGCGCAACAATGAGTAATG